GTGTTGAACTTTCATATGCTTCCTAATAAGAGCCATCTCTGGCGCTTTTCTTTCATTGAAGTTACGGTATGGCGCTGATCTCATCGAAGATGCTGACAGACGTTTACTTTCATAAGGTAATGTTCACCACTAGGTGGCTACTGCTTTGTCCAGCTCTTTCAAGCCAAAAAACATGGCTTCTTCAACCTCTTCTTTCAACCTTCCGTCCAACCTTTGACCAGTTTTCTTTTCTTTATTACATTTTCAGGATCTGCCAGTTTCCACCACTCGCTATTTGTACTTTCTCTATTCTTCGTTTTTTTAATTTTTACTGTAATATTGTTCACAAGCAGCCCTGAAGATGACCTCTGTGCCGGATGCCAAATTGACGAAATGAAGGCGAAAATCTGTATCGCTAAAAGTCATCGTCTCGTTCAACAAGTTCTCAGCCTAAGAATATCTGCTATAGCTGCACAATGAAGTGAAATGTGTATTATTCTCTGACACTAATAAAATTTATTGGGATTGGTTGGAAGGCGTTCAATTGTATCCTTATTTTGAAGTTGGCCTAATGAGGGTCGGATAATCAAGTTTTACGGGAGACTTCGCAGTCCCCAGCGGTCCTCGTTTTTCATCCGGGCTTGGGATCAGCAACGACGGAGTTTTGAAATTATAATGACTTTAATAATTTTTCATAACTCGACTACTGTTCTGTTTTAGGTAACAAGTCTCGCAGTGTCGCCAAACATGCAGCTGATGGCAGTCGGCTTTGCCGATTCTAGCCTGCTGCTCTACCGTGGCGACGTCCTGAAGGAGAAGTACGATACCCTCGCATTTTGCGCTGTTTATGGCTTTGCGAATTTTTTGTTTCAGACATAGCAAGCCACAACTGCTGAGAGACGGTGCCGTATGCTCTTCTGATGGGTCCGTTGTCGGAATGGATTTTGCATTTCTGGGCACCACTGAACACGTTTTGTACGTTGCTACCTCTCGAGCGATACTGTCATTTATGGTGTCTTCGAAAGGAAAGGATGTGATTAAAGTGAGTTCCTGTTATATGCGAACGACCTGATCCCATTGGTTCTTTTACAACAGAAAGGAAAGTGAATTTTTCGGCGTCAAATTTTTGATATGCCTACGTTAAGTTGTAATGGATTGAGAGCGACAACTGGGACATCACTAAACATGGACTAGATTTCAATAGGCTTTCAATAGAACCGGTCATACTCAGCCGTGGCTCGTACTAATTAATGCTATCGAAATAAAAACGAGTTGGTTGACAAAGCAGAACGCTACCATCTGGATACAGTCACATTCTGTTGAGTGTCACAGTTCTTGTATTCAACTTTGATGACGGGTGAAACTCTTACTTCTGTTTGTAGCTGATCTGATCATGTCAGTGCAAGCAGGTTGGAAGTTGACGATTCACGTGGGAATCCATTTGCATGCTAAGCTTCGTCTTCAAGACTGGAAACTGATGTAATACAAGCGTATGCGTTCATCAAGAGTTACACTATGAATCCTTTTTGGGGAAATCAGTATGCCTTGGAAATGGTAACACATACGAAATTCACTCTTCTGGTAGAGAGTTTTCAGCACACATCAGTATCGACAATCAAAATTGAAAAGGTAGATTAGAAAGGATATACCTCAACTTTAGCCCGGATTGGGTCAGATTATTGTACAAATGATTTGTTCATAATGAATCGTTCTTGTAGTACCTTGATGTTCTTTGTTGCACTTCATATTGAGATGCTTTAGGGCAGCGATCACTGATCGACTTTGTCTTGAACTCACCGGGCTTATTTTCGAACATTTTGTTAAAACTGTTTTCTGAGCTGTCAGCAGATCACCACTCATTGTCTGTATGGTGCGCTTTTCAAAACCCATGGTGACCCACGGGACAGGCGGACCGAAACTTACCGACCGACTGAAGTAGGAGTCCTTTGAAGATTGTGCATAAGCAGTTTGCGAATGATTTGTCAGCGGCGTTTAATCGCTCAATCCCAGCAAATCATGAAACAGATGGATTGTGAGCTGGTTAAACCGACCATAACTGCTTCGGCCCAATCTTGCT